AGAAAAACAGTGGCAACGTATCGTCCGTACGTTCGTTCTAACGAGAGAAATAGAAGGACTGAGAATAGATTGTTGTTTCGTCGATAAAATAGTTGGTGTAAGAAGAAATTGTGCCGTTGGAGTTAATAATTGAACTAACGAAGCGAAGAGAAGATAGTTCGTGTAGAAACTTCGTCCAATCTTTCTTTCTTGCTTTTTTTTTTTTTTTTTTTTTTTTCTTCAATATAGAATTACAAAATCATAAAGTATACATATTTTTAGATCTTGTACGAGATTTCGAATTTATACCTATCATTTATTCATTCATCTGAAAAATGATATCGATTTAAAATTAAAATTGGTAAAATGCATAAGAATTATCGTAGATATTTGATCGAACGTTACAAATTTCTCTTCGTTTGAATTCTGATAAAAACGAAAATACGATGGTACCCGATCATCGTCGATGGGTTTGAACATTTTGGGAAATATCGGGATGCGACAGTGTGGATTTAGAGAGGTTGGTCAATCTGGCCTTGCACAATTACAAAGGCGATGTTTGTTCCGACGTATAATCTGTCTGGTATGCGTCACAATTACAGATAGTTTGCCTGCCGATTCGAATACAGCCGGCGCCATTGTTCCTCGTTAATCGCTCAACCGATCGCAATCTCCGATACAACGCCCCGAGCATTGCGAATCGAATACCCATGAGTATATTCTATTACATATTGTATACTATTTTATGTGTATACATTTGGTATATATATATATATATACACTAAATATTATATATATATATATATGTATATATATATATGTATATATATATATATGTATATATATAATACTCTTTGATTTCAACGAGTCCATATATTGTAATGTCGAGTATTTGTCTCTATAGATGCACGATCGTTCCTAATCACGAAGAAAAAGAAAGAAAGAAAGAGAGAGAGAAAGAGAGAGAGAGAGGTAAATTGCAATATTGAGATATACGAGTATTGACCCATTTATAACAACTCGGTCACATAATCGAACATTTATTAGCACAACGAAGTTCCCATTATTAGAATGTTGCTGATTATTCATACGAAGTGATGGTTGACATTCATTAAAGAATAATTAACTATGTATTCTCGGACTTTTACCATCGAAATTGAAAGAAACATAAAGAATTCAAAGAATTCAAATTACGTTAATGAATGAAATTTTTGTTATGAAAAAAATAATCTTTGACAATAATGTATCTGTCTATTTCATTTTTTTTTTCTTTTTTTCCCGTTTTTGTTCTTTTCATTGTTGCTTTTTATTGCATATTGTCTCTCATAATTATGAAAATTTATACCGGAGCTTTTCAAAAGTTTATCGCAGAAACTACGCACGAGTTTTTCATTCATTTCGATTTTAAATTCATTTGAAAATATCTTTGCTTGTCGAATGAGAAAACTAATTCGTGTTTTGAAACGAAATGCAGAGCTTTTAATTACTTGAAATTCTACTTGATTCGACTCTCGTGAACGAGAAACGAGTGAGGTAATTTATATAAATATTTGTACAGATTATCGTAGAAATTTTGGGATCAACGGAGTTTTTCAATGAGCTACGAAAATCTCGCTGCTACATTTATTATTATTATTATTATTATTATTATTATTATTATTATTATTATTATTATTATTATTATTATTATTTTATTTTAATTTCTTTTCACTTTTTTACTTCTTTTTTTTTTTTTTTTTTTTTTTTTTTTTTCTTTTTTTTTCTATATTTCATTTGACGTTCGATGCGTGTTCCTCTCTTTTACGGAATGTTATTTATTTAATCGCAAGGATCGCGATGGCTCAGTGCCAGGAGAAGACGAGCACGCGAGTCGAGCCTAGTATCATCGCATCGAACACGAAGCTTTCCCTATAAATTTATGATAATAACAATGGCTCGACCTATTCCCATCGTTCCTCTTACCGTTCGTCGCACGCGAGCACATTTCTTTCTTATATGTCTATGTTAATACAGGTAGACACGGACGCACACAGAGAAACAAATAAATATGTTTGTATGTATATGGAATGAGATAATTCGGGTTTATACGATTCACCAACAGTCGCTCCTCTGTTACGAACTATTGCAACGATCGAAAAAATATCTTTTTCTTTTTTCTTCACATAAATAGCTTAAAGAGGAAAGATGGGATTCTCGATCGGTGTGAAAAATTCTCACGCGACGTCGACTAGAAAAATAGTCTTCCTTGAGAGTAATACGATCGGTCTATCAAATACACGTGGCGCATACACGCTAGATAAACGAGGCAGAGTGAGAGAGAGAAAGAAAGAGAGAGGCAGAAGATGATATATATAATATATATATATATATATATATATATATATATATATAGAAACAGAAGTGGTAAACATCGATAATGGACGTGCATCGATCAGCGTCAAGCGAATCCTTTAGACAGCAGAAAATATCGTGAATGAGGGACGCACGTGTCGCGTTTGTATCGAATAAATATATATATATATATATATATATATATATATATATATATATATATATATATACGTACTTATGTATGATTACATGAAAAGAGTACATTCAAAAATACATACGTATACATGGAAGCGGTGAAACATTTCCAAAATATTTCCATTTGAATTTTTTTCATTTTGTAATATGTTCGTCGTCATGTCATTGATAACATATCAGGAATTACAAAATATTAAATACAAATTGATTATTATGAGATATATTCATTCATCGTTCTTTCTCATTCTCGTTTGTTTTATTTCTTATCGAAATTCATTTCACTAAGAGGGAAAGTCAATAGAGACTTCTTTTTAAGTTTATCGATGTTAAAGGGCCAATAGCAATTCGCGGAACGAAATCGTAAAATTCTCTCTCCCTTTTATCTCTCTCTCTCTCTCTTCCTCTCTCTCTCTCTCTCTCTCTCTCTCTCTCTCTCTCTCTCTCTCTCTTTATATACATATATATATATATATATATATATATATATACATCATGAAACGAAGAAAACGTTCTTAGCGAGGGTCCTTCGAGACAGCGGCAAAGTTTCAAGGATTATAGAATTCTCTCGAGCGAATCGAAGAGCACGACGGCGATATCTTCAAGAATCGCTTTCAAACTTTAACGCAAAAGGGGAATATCGTTTACTTTATACTCAAAGTATCTAATAACGTAATAATCTTCGCTCGTCTTGGGTGAACATCGAAATTACGAAATTTCATGCAGTGTGTTTTCGATCGCGTCACTGCGTTGTACGGATAGCAGAGGGAGAGAGAGAGTGAGAGAGAGAGAGAGAGAGAGAGAGAGAGAGAGAGAGAGTGAGTTGTTCTATACGCGAGATAGTACGAGGTCGCTCAAATGGAAATACTATTAGACGAGTTTTAAGTTGCTAGAGAGTATCCTCATAGGTATACTTCTACTGTATACACCAAGGGATTTTACTAAAATTGGATCGTCAAACGGTACACATAGTAGGCTGGTTTCTATCCGAACAACTTTTCTAAATTATCATTCGCTTATTACTATCACGCTCGATGGTTTATTATTTTAATCGATGAAATTTTTTATAATGATTATTATACAGTTTCTACGCACGATGCATTCATAATTCGTCGAATATATTGTCATTAAAATGATATAGAAAAAATTTCTTATACGAGCGAAGATAATCTGATTGTTTTTCCTTATGAAACAACCTAGTATGATAGAATATAATTTTGTTGTATACTACATATATATATATATATATATATATATATATATATATAATCGGTTGTTAGATGGATGGAAAGATAAGTATGTATTCTCTTTCGAGCGTTGTCGAGTTTGAGAAGTGAGAAAGAAAAAAAAAAAAGAAAGGAAGGGAAAGGGTATAGATGATGAAGCATCGATGCGGAAACTATAGCCGAGATTCTCGAGAAAATTCTCATCGGTGAGTTCCATCTCGTTGCACTTTAATTTCGATAAATCCGAATTATTGGTCTCCGATTTCTTCGATAATGGTGCTGCGAGTTGGAAAAAGTAGGGAGGTTCGACGATTTCGACACGATATTTGATTGGTCCACGGCAAAAAATGTTGAGAGAGAGGGAATAGATTTTGACAACTCAAGGATCGAAAAATGTTTGGTCTTTTTCTTTTCTTTTTTTCTTTTTCTTTTTTTTCTTTCTTTTTTTTTTTTTTTTTTTTTTTTTTTTTTTTTTTTTTTTTTTTTTGTTATCGAGAGAACTTTCCCTCTCTCTCTCTTTTTCTGTTCTTCAGACGATCTGTTCAAGATTATATTTTAGATCTTAACATTTCTATATTCCGTATCGAAACATGTGACTTCTGTTTATGATAAAATGCATATTTTTCATATCATTCATTACGCTTATCTATTAAAAAACCATACGAGACTCCTGCTGTGGGAATACTGCAAAGTTTCAAACAACACTTCCGACTGGCGAGATACACGTGCACAACCTCCGTTATGGAGATTCGTTCGACGTTCGGTTCAAAGGTTATTTATTATCATACGAAATAAGATTCGTTAGACGCTCATTGTTCAAGATGAACGAAACGCGATTAAGAATCCATCGTGGCTCTATGTATATTTATGTGTTCTAGATATTCTACGAATGTTCAGGTTTTTTTCTTTTTTTTTTTTTTTTTAAATGTTCTAAACCTGGCTTAAAAAATTCGCAAGAAATTGGCTTTATACGGCGAACAATTTACGACGTTTCCTTTAAATACCTAAACCCTTTGTAATACTTAAATATTTTTTACTCTTAAATCGGTATAATCATATCGTGTAAAAAGTAATTACATTTCGCGTTTATTTAAAGATATCCGATACGAACAATATGGACGTATCTTTAACCAATGAAACTTCATTCCTTTCCTTTTCCTTTTTTTTTGTTTTTTTTTTTTATTTTTTTTTTTCCTTTCTTTTCTAATTTCTTCAATCGTTAATCCGAACAATTAATCCTACGAAATCTCAAATCACATGCGAGATCGTACACGATTAATTAACTTGTACAGTTGATTGTTAATAAAAAAACGTATACATATATTTTCACGTTAATAAATCGAATCTCAGTTAAGCGTACAATTTTCTCTACGTCATAAAGAATCTTTATCTTTTCATCCCCTTTAATTTGTGAATTTTAATTATTTTGAGATAAGATAATAAGAGAATCAAATGTACGCGTTATTCGTGAAAGTATTTAATCCAAGATAGATTAGTACGGTTTGTGAGTAAGATTTTTCTTTTTATTCTTTTATTTCTTGTTTTCTCTCTTTTATTTTTTTTTTTCCTTTATTTTCTTTTTCTTTTTGTTTTTGTTTTTATTTTATTATGTTTTATTGTTTTAAGGAGGAATAAAAAACGCCTAACATTAGAAACATAATTACTCCCTCCCATCCCTCACTCCTTTCTCTTCCATGGAATACGAGTGCAACGAGAAAAAGTGAGAGAAAGATCGTATTGTATTATTTAATATTTCTTCAAAATGTACCATCCCCTTTTATTTTCTCTTTTATATATTATTTAAATTCGTCATGTTACTTCGTTCTGACGTCTCTCTGAAAGAATTAAAAAATTTCGTAGGACGTATAATAAACTCCAATAATAAAATTCCATTATAGATACTTAAGGAAATTTTGTAGTTTTTAATAAGGAAAAGAAAAAGAAAAAAAAAATAAAAA